GACCGCGCTGGCGCCCAACCTCTACTCCTACGCCAACTTTTCCTCTCACCAGGCCGACAGCCGAGCCTTTGCGTCGCTTCTCCGCTCCCGCGCCTCCCCCGCTGCTTCGCCACCTAGCTTCACTTCGCGTGCACCACAGTTGAGCTCCCGGGACTGATAGCCCACTCTCAGTCCTGCTCTGCCTCCTCATTGGCCAGTCACTGTGTGACGTCACCGAACTCCGTAAACCGGATGGCGGCTTCAGTCTATTCGAATGCTTTCCTTCCTTCCTCTCTCCCTCCTCCAGTTCTCCCGTAGAGAGAGAAGAAGCTTGGGTAGCACATTACCTGTTGTTGTTCAGTCGCACAGTCGAGTCCGACTCTTCGCGACCCCATGGACCAGATCTCGCCAGGCCTTCCTGTCTTCCGCCGTCCTCTGAAGTTGGCTCAATTTCACGTTCGTTGCATCGATGACTCTGTCTAACCATCTCATCCTTTGCCGTCCCCGTCTTCTTTGACCTTCAATCTTTCCCAGCATCAGGGTCTTCTCCAGTGAGTGCTCCCTATGGGTAAAAGTGGAAGGCCGCCATTAGCTATGATTACGCTCCAGTTTCGTTATTAAGTGAAAATTGTACATGTTTTGGCCTAGAAAACGAGTTTAGTTTTCAACCGGAAGTGCCAATAAGGTCTGCGACGGGATGATGCTCGAGTTTATTTTTCTCGAATTCTGCGGTTCAAGCATCACCAGCCCCCCTGGCCTCCCCCCCCCCCCGGGGGGGGGGGGGCTATAGTGGCTTGTCATCTAATGCACATGCGTAGAAGCCTCTCGTGCGGGCAGATGGATTTTTCGATCTACTACCAGACCCCCACTCATGCGACTAGTAGCTGGAGCGGTTAATTTTCAAGCAAGAATATAGGAGCAGGAACTCTGGCAAGAGTATAGAAAACGTATGGGTATATAGTATTCCGACGGGTGCTTGCCCGCTCAGTACCGACTATCTGGGTGACTGGTTTCACAGGAACAACGGGAAGGTATATTAGAAGCTCTTTATATGTATGTCATCATGTAAATATTGTTGATCCGGGGACGTTGTTTCGATTGAGACTTTCATGTTTGAAAGTAATGCATTAATAACTATTCCAGCAAAAGGGGATGGGGGAATTGAGGCCATAGAAAGCAAATGGAATCTATTCTTAAAATGTTTCAAAATCCAAAGGATTGATAAGAGATCTTGGGATCCTTACCAAGTTTGTAATCCCCTACTAGTCCATGGAGTGTGATTGTATACATGCTAAATGTTTAGAGGTTGTCCTTTTGGTGTCTGCAACACTGGTGGACCTCCTGATGGCAGGTCCACTGTGTGACAGAGTGTTGGACTGGATGGGCCTGATCCAACATTGTTATGTTCTTATGTAACACTTGCCAAAATAAACAGTAGCCCTTAAAGACTTAACATAATTTTATTCTAGCATAACTAGGGAAATAGCCCATTACTGCTATTGGAAAGGGCCTCAGTACTTCCCTGAGTATATTTGAATTTTACCTAATTAGATTTCACCCTATATTTCCTGCATTTCACAGCCCCTTGATCTTGCTGCTTGTCTGTTGTTTTTCTACTTCAGAGATAAATGTCTGCCCACTACACTACATCTGATAACGGCTGCTAGTCCACAAAAACGGAACCTGGAATAAAATCTCCAAACTGTTCCTAGAAAGTCCTGTTTGTTTTTGTTAATTAATGGGGGTGGTCCACTGAAAAAAAAATCATTTATAATTTGCATGGCCTGGGGTGCAGCTAAGGGTAAGCTAACATTCCACCTAATTACTAATCTTGTATTGTTTTTTTCTCTCTCAAGATAAAAAGAAGATATCAGTATGGTTGAAAACTCACCAGCACCATTGCCTGAAAGAGCTATATATGGATTTGTTCTTTACTTAGGCTCCCAGTTTGTCTTTAGTGAGTATATTTAATTACTGAGTATCCAGTACTTTCAGTGAACTTTGCAATTGGATTTTACTGTGTGAAACAGCAAAATCCACTTGCAAATGATCGCCAGAGTGGATTGAAAGTGCATTATTCAGCATGTGTGAAAGCAACCATAAGAGGACTACTGTCCCTTTAAGCCACAGTCCAAAGGATACTTGGGAGTAAATTGCTCATCTGTACAGGGCCTTCCACAGGAGTCACCCTGCAGATGAGCAAGATCAACAATTGCCTGTACACATGCATTCTCTATTGCAGCCCTGGCTTTTTCGAATGGCCTTCCTGATGAGGTCAGAAAGGCTCCCACTCACCCTACATTTACCATTCCCTGTTAGTAGAAAATCGGCATTGTCTGTGAAGCCACAAGCCTGATTATGCTATTATTTTTTAAATTTTATTTTTACATTTACAAGGAGTTCTTACATGGAGAGAGCATTGCAAATGCAAGTCTTCCCTACCTGCAGTCTAAAGAAATACACCTCATTAGGGATGAGCACAAACCACAAAAATGCAGTTTGTTTCAGTTTGTGGACAAACCATGAACCCAGTCAGTTTGCATATGAACCAAACTGGGTTCGTGTCCAAAACAGCTGAACCCCTGAGGCTGGCTGCCTAAGAAAGTCCCTTTAAACAGCTGAGCTGCAGGAGCAGGCTGCGTCAGCATCTCAGCTGTTTCCCATCTAAACAGCTGAGCCACAGGGGGCAGCCAGTTGGGTGGGGCTCAGCTGTTTAAAGGGGCTTTCTTGGGCCACCAACGCTGCCCAAAAAAGCCCCTTTAAACAGTTGCGATGCACAGAGCAAACTGCTCCCATGGCTTAACTGTTTAAAGGGGATTTCTTGGCTGGCCAGTCCCAGGCTCAAAGCCATTTAAACCTGCTTTCTGCTCCCCACAGCTTTTCACGAGGAGCAGAAAGCAGTAGGTTTAAATCAAACAGCTGAGTAGCGTAGAGCTCAACTGCTTTTCTTAACCCCTGTTTTCCGCTTTTCATGAACTGCATCAAAATTCATGAATGTTTGTGGCAGTTCTGAAGTACACAACCATTTCTTCATTATACTAACTCAGTCTTCTGCATATGTAGACCAGGTCTCAGTGGAACTTGCTTCTAAGTAAATATGCATGCAATTAGTATACATAATCTTCTGTGTAGGGTCACTTTTTGAATCGTTGGTTTGTATATTGTGTGGTGCATTGATTTTTAAGCACTACAGCAGTATTTTAATTAGTAGTAAAAGAGGAAATATATCCAGCATTCATTAGGTTAATTATTAATATTAAGAAAGAACCTGTTACAAGCACATCAGCTTTATCTCGTGAAAAAAGCAAGCTTTTTTCAGGGCCTCAGTGTTAGTCAGTGACAGTCAGGTTCAGTGCATGTTTCGCTCATTGCAGTCTAGAATAATAAATACTCTGTCATGAAATTATGTTCACCATTGTACCTAACTTTTCTTCTTTGCTTTTTCTTGTGTAGTTCTGTACCTTGTTTGGGCCTATGTACCTGAATCCTGGCTATTCTCATTGGGGTTAACATACTGGCCTCAAAAGTAGGTTGAAACAGTTCTCCTAATCATGTTACCAGACAATTTATGCAAGGAACTATTGTGTTGCATTTTCAACATGACCTTAATAAACAAGAGCCCTGGTAGATCAAAGGATATCGTCTAGCATCCTGTTTCTGAGAAAGACCAACAAGATGTCTCCAGAAATCCTAAAACAGGCAGCAGTCTTCCCTGTTACACTGAGGTTCCATTTAGATGTTGTGGTTAATGTGAGACCTTTTTTTCTAAAGCCTTTTAAGCTAGTGGCTATTGCTACATCCTGTGGCAATGACTACTATAAGTTAAGCTATGTATAGTTGCACTTTATTTTATCCTAAACTCAACTGTCAATTAATTTCATTGGGCCCCTGGGTTTTAGCACTGCGAGAAAAATCTATGTGCTGTTTTCATACCATCCATAATTTTTTCATAATGTTATAAATATATTGTGTCTCCCTTTTGTCATCTTTTATCTAAACTTAAAGAAACCCAAGCATTTTAGTCTTTTCTTATAGGAAAGGTACTCTAACTGTGTTATCATTTCAATTGCCCTTTTCTCTACCTTGTTTCATTTAGGGATTGAAATTGTTTTACTGGATGCATGTGTTCGACACTACCTAAAATATTATAATTTTGCAGGTTCTGGGCTGTTGCTTTGCCTGTGTACCTTTTAGTTAGTGTGGGAATAGTCTATGTGCTTCTGTTTGGAATTAATATGATGAGTACTGCTCCACTGAATTCCACACACACAATTACAGGTAACCCAATGACATGATATTTTACTCTTCTGTGTTCTTCCACTGTTCAGTAGTACTTGCTTCTGCATTGTGAATGTTTATAGCAGTTTAATTTGACATAGATCAGTTAAATATAAAAGAGTCCATAAAAGCATTCAGTTTCATTTGTCTGGGGTGTGACCTTAAGCTGAAATTGCCAAATCATAAAAGTTACAACCCCTGTTCCAGGTGCTTTCTGTTCAGATCCCTTTACTTCCACCATCTATATTTACATCTATAGGCTGACCATTTTCAAAGTTGTCATGGGCCTGACGTCCTAAGACTAGGTTAAGCTTTGCCATGGTTCTAGTCATAATGATTTGCGTTAGTGAACAACTGCATATGTGTAACATGCTGCTATGCACACAAATGAGAAAATGTTTTCCACTGTGTTGACTTACAGATGAGAATATGCTTTTCACTGTGTTAACCTGAGTGTCTGTATTCTACCAACAACCTGTGTTCTGTTATCTTTCCTATTTTGTGCATCTTTCCCCTGTGACTATGCTGCTTGGAACACAGGTGTGGAGTAATGGTTAGGGTGTCGGACTAGGGTCTGGGAGACCCAGGTTCAAATCTCCAATCTACCATGCAAGCTTGCTGGGTAACTTTGGGCATTTTCATGCTTTCATCCTAACTGAGTTGGTGTGAGGATGAAAGGGAGGAGAGGAGAAGGATGTGAACTGCATCAGGTCCCCAGGGTATGAGATAGCCAGGGTATGAATGAAATACCCTATTCTAATTGGTGGACTTACAGAGGTGTTTAAAGGACTGGTTGTAGGAAATTATTTAACAGAGCAACAACTGAGAGAGTCCTCCTTTTTGATGTTCGTAATTTAATCTTCCCAAAAGATATTTCAGAGTGGGGCTCTACAAAAATTTTAAAAGATGTGTGAGTTCATTTGGGATGAGGCACTGACAGTACCTGCCCACTTAAAAAGGTGAAACAAAAGCTTTTTCCATGTAGAAAATTAACATTGGCCCCGTTCACACGGAGGATTTGCCGTGGGAGAGCGACGATTGAATGGCGGATTTTCCAGGCGCGATCACACCGCAACATCTGGGAAGTGGAGTGCACGTGTGGCGTACCACCAGAAATGCGTGATAAAAAACTACCTGTTCGAAGGTACTAGGAACCGGTTTCCCACTGGCTGCCTCCGGAGTCCCTCGGTGTGATCGCGCTAGCCGCGGCTTTTCCCTCTGGCCCCTCGTTGAGGCGCAGGCGTGGAGGGAAGGAACCGTGGCGTGCCGCCGATGCGTGGGATCCCGTTCTGGGGGCTTTAATTGTGGTGGCACAAATAGCCCCCCCCCCCCCCCCCCCCCGCGTTATCCAGCCCATTATCTAAAAGATGGCTAAGATAGGCCTGTTGTTTGGCAATGAGGGATTTCTGGACATTGAATATTCGATTGTGCTGTCCTCACACTAAAGATTGAAGTTTTGGGGGAATTTGGAGAATGTATGCTGGAAACAGCCTATTTACTTTGTTGTAAAAAATGGTTGTTTTAAGTAAGCTAAAGGGATGATATATGGTTTTGCATTTTCTACAGACCACTATGCAAGAAATCAGAAACAGAAGAAACAAGAAGAAGAAGCTATCCCTGCACTAAGGGATATTCCCATTAGTGATGTAAACAAAATGTTTTTCCTGCCTTGCAAAGCAATTTGCAATCGAAAATGATTTAAGGAAATACTATTAAAAATGAAGGGGGAGGATCTATATTCCTGAATTCCAAACTCTGATGGTGATGTGCTAAATTATTTTATTTTAGTAAGAGGACATATATGTAAATAGCAAAATGTGAGCTCAGAAACAGAAGCACCTCTTTCACAGCATAATATAACACAAACCAGGTACTGTTCATTCTCTGTCCATGCTGGTCTTCTGCATGTATATACTGTGGTCAAAATTAAGGCAGTATCATCTGTACTCCAGTCAGAATCTGTGCATTCTCCCATACAATATCATACCATTTCTTTAGGATCTAGGCCCTGCAGTTCCACTGGAATTCAGAACAGTTCTGTATAATTCTGTGTGGAGTTCATTGAGCCAGTTTGGTGTAGTGGTTAAGTGCATGGACTCTAATCTGGGAGAACCGGGTTTGATTCCCCACTCCTCCACTTGCACCTGCTGGATGACCTTGGGCAAGCCATAGTTCTGTCAGAGCTGTTCTAGAAAAAGAGCAGTTTCTGTCAGAGGTCTCTCAGCCTCACCTACCTCACAGGGTGTCTGTTGTGGGGAGGGGAAGGGAAAGGAGTTTGTAAGCCACTCTGAGACTCCTTTGGGTAGTGAAGGGCGGGGTAGAAATCCAATCTCTTCTCTTCTTCTTCTTCTCTCTTACTTAAAAATAAGATGATTTTATTGTATTTTTACCTTGTGAAGTACATCAAGCAGATTTCCAGAGAGGTTGCATATACATTTTCTGAATAAGATCTGTGGAAACTTAACACATGAATCTGCCTTACAATTGGCCCATCATGGTCAGTGCTGTCTGCTCTGGCTGGCAACAGCTCTTCAGGATCCCAGGTCTTTCGGATCACTTCCTACCTGATTCTTTGAACTGAAGATGCCCAGGATCAAAGCTGAGGCCATCTGATTGCGAAGCAAATGCTCTGTCAGGACTTATCAGGTGCCACACTCTGATCCTTGGCATACCTAGCCTGTTTTTAGAACAGGCTATAATGCTCCATATATAGTTCCCTGTAAACCATACTTGTTTACTTCCCATGTGTTTCAGATATGTCTTTCAGTGCTGAAAAAAGTCTAAATACAAAATTGTCACCAACACTTGATGTTGAATTGTTTACCATAACTTACTTTACTGTCAATGGAAGAAGGTATTCCACTACACTTGAATTTATATTACATTAAACTTTTCAAAAAATGTCATTCTGCGTTTTTTTTTCTTTGCCCAAAGGTGAAAGATATCTCTCCCATTCTAATAAGATTATACAGCTAAAACAATATTGTGTTTTAATAGGCTTTATTTAAAATATATACTGACTTAAAATAATTTCAAAAATTGTGAAGGTATTTTATTTATTTAAAATTTGTTTATTAACCACATTTTTCCTTGCAGAACTCAAGACAGTTTCCACTATAAAAGTTATTAAAACACAATAGAAAACAATATGAGTAAAATCACAGTTATCAAAATACATAAGAGGTCACAATTTAAAAAGTCTAATTGAAACTTTAAAAGTCAAAACCATCCTTAATAAAATGGTCTTTTTACAGTGAAAGTATATTGCTGAGGAACAAAAATTGGTTTCTAGCTTTTCACAGGAGATTTGCTTCTTAACGTCTTTGGGATGCCATACCAAGAGAGCATTTAGAATGATGCCTTCAGCAGGTCCAGAAAATCATGCAATATAAAAGCTTTGTGGTCCCCGTGTTCTTCCCATTACAGTTCCCTATTCTTGTTGCCTTTTCCACTTACTGCTAAGGAAGCAATAAATGTTCAAGATGACTTATGAGCTCTCTAGACAGCCACTGTGGCTCTTGGTCCAGATTAGGACCCTGTCCTGGGGGGCCCAGGCTAGCCCAGTCTCATCAGATCTCGTAAGCTGAACAGGGAGGCCATCATGGAATATCAGTGTCATGAAACTGAGGCAGGCAGTGGCAAACCACTTCCAAATATCTCTTGCCTTAAAAACCCTATGGGTTGGCCTAAATCATCTGCCACTTGATGGCACTTTCCTCCACCACCACAGATTAAGAAGAGGGAAGGTATAGAGCAGGGGTGGCCAAACTGGCTCAGGAGCCACATGTGGATCTTTCACACATATTGTGTGGCTCCTAGCAGGGCGGCTGGGGAAGCGAAGGAGAGGTATGCCTCCCCAATCAGTCTTCCCTTCCCCAGCCAGTGTTCCTCTCCTGGGGTAGGCTTGAAGTGGGGGGAAGCAGAGAAAGAAAGCAACTTTAATTGCATTCTCAAAGCCCCCCCCAGCTGGCTTGGAGAAGGCATTTCTCTCTTTAAATCCCTTCTCCAAGCCAGCCTGCATGGGGAGGGGGCTTGGAGGACCCATTTAAAATTAAAGTTGCTTTCTTTTCATCTCCCCCCATCTATTTGCTGTCTTCCATTTTCTTTCATTCCACCTTTCTTTCTCTCTCCCCTCCCTCCCCATCTACAGTTAAATGTGTTCTCCAAGCCAAGCCATTTGTCTTTTTAAATCCCTTCGCCAAGCCAGCACAGCAGATGGGGTGGGGGGCTGGGAAAACACATTTAAAATTAAAGGCATTCTCCAAGCCCCTGCCCCATGGGCCCACCAGCCAGGTTGGAGGAGGCATTTATCTCTTTAGATCCCTTCTCTAAGCCAAGCCGGCTGGCATAGGTGTGGGGGGGGCATTTTGGAGAACACATTTAAAGTTGCTTTCTTTCCACCACTCTATCCCTCTGTCCCCATTTATTTGCTTTCTTTCCACCTTTCTTTCTCTTTTTCTCTCTCCCTTCCCCCTCCATCCCTCCCACATCTATTTGCTTTCTTTGTTTCTCTCTTTTTCTCTTTTTTCCCACTTCTTTCATCCTTTCATCCTTTTTCTCTCTCTTTTAGACAAAATAATATCAATATCTGTTTTTACAGTCTCATTTAATGTTAATAAAAAGCAAATTTGCATATTTCCCAATAAAACTGTGTGTGATATTTGCTCAAGGGGCCACGGTGGCTCAGAAGTTAAGGCGCTGAGCAACTTATTCTGTTTATTTTCTGTGGCTCTTACGTTAAGCAGGTTTGGCCACCCCAGGTATAGAGGCTGCCATTTAGATTTATTCATAGCATGTGGCAGTTCACAAATACAGTTCTATGCCATTGTAATGCCCTCTGGAGGCAGGGAAACATCACACTCTGGGGTCCATGGGGTCTTGAAATTACCAGCCCAGTCACTGTTTTCTTGCACAAATCTATTTATTGGGAGTTGACCAATCCAAGCATCTGAAGATACTGTTTACCCACTTCAGGGTACAACATGTCACAAGGGAGAATAACTACGATGCAGTAACCTGCCTCCTTTCCCTCTCTGGCTGCTGCTTCTTCCACTTTCTCCTGGTTGGCTTGGCTTCCCCTTTCTGCCTCTGCTACTGTACCCTCTTCTTACAGCCAGACCCCTCCCATTTTGGCTTCCTTCCCTTTTATAGCCCCAGCTCCATGCCTGGTGCTTGTGCTAAGCTCCACCTTCTCTGTTTCTTGCTCCTTTGCCAGCTCTTGTTCTCCATAACATGCCCTGCCTAAAACCACTTGGGCCCAGAGAACCACTGTTCCATCATCCAGGCTCACATACAACCTCCCTACATTCTGAGCCACCTGCTGACACATTGCCAAAGCTGCCCTGTTGCTGAGGCTACCCTGGTTGTACCTTGGAATGTTCATATACAGATAACAAAAAATGCACCAAATACAATTAAGAAGTCAACTTTCATTCTCCAAAATGTATTTATCTTTCTCCTTCAGTGGGGGAAGTCATCCAAATGGTTAGGTCACACCTCCGCTTGTTCAGGTAGCGCTATGCAAATTTTTGTGTGGCTCCTATTGGAGAGCTCGTTGACCTTCAGTTTTGGATAGCCCTACTGCTTGCCAACCTAGCAGTTTGAAAGCAAGAAATTGCAAGTAGATAAATAGGTACCACTTCGGTGGGAAGGTAACAGCGTTCCGTGCGCCTTGGTGTTTAGTCATGCCGGCCACATGACCACGGAAACGTCTTCGGACAGCGCTGGCTCTTCGGCTTTGAAACGGAGATGAGCACCGCAACCCTAGAGTCGGATTCGACTGGCTTTCGAGCAAGGGAACCTTTACCTTTACTAATACTCAATTAAAACAAGATGGTCCCCGGATGTATGCCATTATGGTAAACAGACAGTTCTCTGGAGATGATGTTGTCTTATAGCCGAACCCAAGCAAGTAAGTCCGGTGGTATCAGTCACGCAAAAATTGTGGTAGATCTTCCCGGGCCATCCTTAACCTCGATGTTGTCCACATCATTGGTGGCAGTGGTAGTGGCGGCCCCTATGTGAAAGCCTGGCAGAAGAGCTCCGTCTTACAGGCCCTGTGGAACTGCATAAGGTCCCGCAGGGCCCTGATCTCCTTCGAGAGCTCGTTCCACCAGGTAGGGGCCACCACTGAAAAGGACCTGGCCCTAGTCACTCACAGCGAGCCTTGCCTCCCGGGGGCCTGGAACCACCAGGCGATGTTGTGCCCCGGACCGAAGGGCTCTTGGGGGTACATGTAGGCAAAGGGGCCAATGTTTCATTTTCCTTTGGTGATGGAAGTCATCCAAACTGATTAGCTTTTCCCAAGCTGTACTTCTGGTTGGGATTCCTCCCTTGGTCTACTTCTCTACTCCCTGTTGCAACTTCCTTCGTCCAAAGGCTGCCTCTGCTGAGGCCGTCTGGTCTATTTGGTGTAGTGGTTAAGAGCGGCAGAGTCTAATCTGCAGAACTGGGTTTAATTCTTGACAAAAGGGTTGCTGCTGTTCACATAGAATGCGCTGTGACCCTGGTGGAAGGCATAAGTCCCAGTGCCTTGTATGCTTTACATATGCACTGTTTCACCCAAAAGGCCATCTCTCAAGGGTAGTTCACAATGACTTTCTTGGCTAGAGACACTCATTTACACAATTTAAAAAGTACCAGTTTCTAGCATTTGCCCTAGTTAGCTGTTTTGTTTGCCTATTTTGCTCTTTGTGCCACTTAACTGGTGTCCCAATGTGTTTCAGAATATAAGACTAAGGTCATTTGACAGTTCTATCCAGACATTATTTCACAATGACCAAATAATTCCTTTGCTTATTGCTGATTCTGTCTTTGCCTCAAACAGAAATCAGATCTGTGATTTCAGCAGAAAAGCAAGTTTGTTTGAAAAACAGCAGGTATACAAATAGAAATACTGATACAGAAACACATAACAATCCATGATCTTAGTCACTGCATCACAGAACTGATTCCAAACTGCAAAATGTTGGACAAGCCTCCCTTTTTTAGGTGACATGCTCAAGAAGGAAATGGTATATCAATTTTAAATGCTTTGGGACTTAAATCCATTATCTTGGTTTTGCTGTGTTAGGAGAAGGACAAGTGGAATGCAACCCTAATCTTCCTGGATCTCTCAGTGGCTTTTGACAGCATAGACCATGGAATATTTTTGGACAATCTACCTGAAATGGGAATTGGAGGCACTGTAGTTTCATTCCTACGTCATCAGGTAGAGACAAGTCCCAATAACCACAAGGTCAAACAGCAGGGGTTCTCAGGTCACAGTCCAAAGTCCAATAACATAAGCAAAAGGCAGTGTTAAAAGGCAGTCCAAGGTATCAGTGTAGAGTCAGGACACATATTTCAAAGGCAGAGTCCACAAGCAACCTAAGGGTCAGGTAACAAGAATGGATACAAGGTAGGTCAGGGAACTCATGGGATAGTCAACAAGAGTACAGACATATCAGGTAACAAAAGCTACGTAATATCTTTTATGAAGTCTAACCCAAATAACATAGTGCAGTGTATTGGTCTTAACAACACAAATTACATAGTTTTTAGTTTTGGATTTTGCTGTGAACCAAGAGCACTATGTACATTCTTTGTCAGAGGACTAAACCTTATTCATACCAATTAAGTACACAAAACCCTGTCACAGCAGTCTGATTTCTTCACTGGAGCCCTTCTCCATTTTGGTTTCGGACTGACTCCCTTGTAGTAAGGTTACTGACTCTTGCAAGTTTGAAAACTGCATCTGCTCCATTTCTTTCTCCTCTCACGTAGATTCCCTTTAAAGCCTG